ACAGCGAGATTTTATTGAATGCGTTCGATTTGAAAGAAAACGGAGGGTTCCTCATTATTCCTCATTAATCTATCAGCAATTGAATAAAATATTTCTGAACTGTAATCTTCAGTTTTCAGTAATTTTTTCATTGAAATAGAGGTAAACAATTTTGATGAGAAGAAAATTGTGTTCTAAAATTATTAGGGAAATTGTTCAGCTTTGATTCAGACTTGAACAAAAAATATCCCGTAAAATGCAGAAAACTCTATGCCGTGGGGTCATCATATTTGACACTTGACATGAAACATCCGAGCTGAAATGGCTAATCACCGTTTTCCCCAGAGCGCCGAAATCCCCCAAAACACTGATAGTATCCGATCCCCCATAAATTGAGAGTTCCACATAGATTCACTGGACTATGGGATCCCCCGGAAGATCTTCAAACTTTTAAAAGCCGTCCAAAGAACCCTTAAACCCCCTGAATTTCCAATGAACACCGCATAATATTAAAATAATGAACTGCAGAGGAAACAAGTGATAAATCGGCGCCCCTTTAATCCAGTGGAAAAATAAATTTCAAGCTCGTGAACGCGAATGAATATCGAATAGCTTAAGCTAGCCCCTTGTTCCCCACCCCGATGGAGAGTTCGGCTATTAAATAGCTATTAGCCCGATTAAAATATTCAATAGATAACTTTTGCCATTTGACCACATGCAACACACACATTGTTCAGCTTTCATACCAGATCCAAAACAGAACAAATAATTATTTCCGATTATTCCAAACCACGTTGGTGGTGGCAATGGAGTTTACGTTACATTTTTCACTCCCACCTCCAGTATTTTCGATCATACAAAACGATTGAGAGGGTCAATGGTATGAGTGGATATGTGCCTAACAAGAGAGAGCAATGGTCTCCAATGGACAGCACTAAAAGTTCAATGGGTGATGAATCACATCGCAAGTTTAAATGGTTTCCCTTTTCCTCACACCACTCTCTGCCAATCTGTTTGTTTAAATACCTCATCCCCCCGCAAAACACATGCACACGAAAACACTGCAAATGGTTTGCATCGATTTGGTGCTTTAATTTAAACGCTCACTTGAATGAACAAAAGTGCTCGCCTGGTGAATTCATTTGGTTTACTTGTAGAATTCAATTGAACTAATTGTAACAAAACGCAAATATACGCGCCACGGTACCAAACGGCCAAAAAATTATTGACTTTGGTGATGGAACGGATTATTCATTGGAAATAAATTAACTAGACTGGTGGCGCGGGTTATTTATAAATGATCTGTAAAAATAAGTGATTTGATAAAAATTACGATAAATATTGAAATTGCAATCTTTTGAAAAAAAAAGCGCAGAAGAAAAAAATTTTCACAACTCATGCACATTCTTCTGCACTTGTCGCAAATGATTTTCCGATACGTTCACGTTTTACTATTCACAATTCTCATTCACGTCAATGATGAATTATTAGCTTGATGCTGCCATCAATATTGCTGTCTTATACATCCGGCCCTCTCCGGTGGACGCGGCCCATGCAAAAGTGCTGAATAGTCATACATACGACCTGACATGAAGTAGAACAATATAGATGATAAAATAGGGGTCGTACTATTGTCGAGTAAAGTTGCGGTGTTTTGCTCCGACGAAAAGTCCTGGTGAACGATGTCGCTGGTAATTGCTGCACCGACATTGCTACAGTAGTCCTCCAGAAGTACGTAGCACAGTAATAGCCGTACCACCCTCATGCTGTGGAAAAAAAAAATAAATAAATAAGAGAAAAAATGTCACAGAGGAGATGAGAGAACAAAAATAAGGAAAATTGAATGAAAGGTGGTGAGGGACAAAGGGCTTTCAATGTTTTAACCTCAACTAGAGGGAATAAATAGACGCTTAGGGGAAAGAAGAATTTAAAGTGAAAAAGAAATATAAAAATGAATCTGGGTTAATTTAGTGAGCATTAAGGGACACATCAATGTTCAGCTAGTTTTACTGTCGAGACTCGGTGAAAATAAAACTTTTAGATGTGCTGGTGCATTTTCCCAGTGAGTGGAGGAGATGGTGGGTGGAAAGGTATCTCTTCACTCGAATGTCCAATGCGGAAAATTAAATAAAAGGTATATCATTTGCTGGAAACCTTCAGGTTCACTCTTAATTAGATTTATTTCATTTTCTTTGACTGTTGGCTCTCCGTTGGAAATATTCCATTGACTTTCGCTAACGTTTTGTCCTCTTTGATGAATAATCGCTTTTGAGTAACGGAGATGACGTCTGTTGCATTACATTTCCAATTAACTACGAGGTAATTCTCTAATCCAGTGATTAAAATAAGGGCATAATTCTACTGGTAATGTATAGAATGCAGGCTGGGCTTTTGTAGTTTAATTCCTTTTGTTCTCCATAAAATTCAAATTTGAATTCAACCCATCATTTGGATATTCCGTGTCAAACGAAATTTTAGACGCAATTTGTTGGGAATATTGTGAAGAGAATCTACTAGCACGAATTTTGATAAAGGTCTTTTCTGCGCGAACATGACAAACATAAAACTTCCAATATCCATCCAAAGTTCATTAAGTACGTTTTCTTACGAAATAATATCCTTTTAAAAATTGGGGAATTACACTTTCTGAACATGTTGATCGCAGAGTGTCATCTACCGATTGAGTCCCTTTGAGGAAAAAAAAAAACTCCCATTTGTACTTTTCAATTCCGAAATGCCGCGACTTCAGATCTTGGCGTGACAAACGAGAAGAAAATGATCTAGAAGCGTCTCTGAAAAAAAAATTCACGATGAATTACTGGCGCTTTAATGCACTCCCTTTGTGTTCCACATGAAGTGACTTTTTGTTCACAACTTTCTTGATGAGTTTTTCCATCGAAAAAGAGTGTCTTGAAGCTGTTCTAAAAGATCCGATGGACTTGAACAACCGAGTGATCCGGGATAACCCACCTCCAAGGAAATGAGAATATATTTTTTCATGAATCATATCGACGGCAAAACACCTTAATTTTTTTATCCACATGCATCACCAAGAATAAACCCTTAAGAGCGATGAAGTGCAGCCAAACATTCTCATTCTCCCTGAGACTCAGGGATAATATCCACTCCACGATTTTTTCCCTCTTCCTTTTCCTCACTTCGTCGTCGTTCACGGCGAGAGGAACTCGAAAAACCCATTGGAATCGGCAATGGAGTATGAGGCTGAGTTTTATCGGTTTCTTCGTATCCGGCACTTCACTCTCTCATCGTATCCATATGACGAGTAAAAAAAATCTGAATATCCCTTTCGCGCGTTCCCTGGTCTAGAACCGATAAGTACTAGATAAAAAAAATTCTCCAACAGAAAAAAAAAGAAAAACAGCTCCAGAGAAGCGGCTCTATTACGCTTTTTCATCAACTCGGTAATCGGCTATAAATAAATCAATTTAACCGTCTAGACTGGGGAGATTATCACCCCCGATTGATCAAGATAAATAATACCCCACCAAATTGAAAACCAAAAACAAATAAATAAATAAATTTCCTAAGTTTATATATATGTACTTGAGCGGTACAATGTGATCCGATAAAACACTTTGGGAATAATGTCACATAAATCAATCATTCCAGGCTATGAAATGTTGATCGAATAAATAAAAATTTACCTCGTGAAAACAGTGTAGCATTATAGTTGACTGACACCGCTTAGAACAGTCATAAATGACGTGTTTTTAACGAAAACTAGGGAGTAATGTGTAATTGACTATTTGATTTGGTCTCGTGGTTATGGGAATAATGGTGCTGAGGGTGAAGATTCTCCCTTGGAAAAACCGACGCATCCCCGGGCGTCGAGACGCGTGTACTGATGTGTCAGAAGCTCTCGACGCTACGGGAGACGCTGGTTCCATTGAGAGCCTCATCCCCAAGAACCTATCGCGCAGGTCCACACAAAACAACTCACTCAACAACTAACAGGCATTACTATTAATTATTTCCATCCAAATCATCGTCCAACTAATTTTCCATTAATATCAATTAATCTCGGCATATCCACTCTCAATTGGCTCCTAATTTCTCCCTGACCGCAGTGACAGGGTGACAGGGTGATGGCAATGTTGATGCATCGAGTGACAATGACACTTCGGCAAGGCTTGACACTGCCACTGTATAAACTACTTTCCCGATGTGTGAAAAAGTCACTTACATTTACGTTGTAACGCAGCTGTCAACGGTCACTTGATATATCGACAAAGTGTTTCACGCGTACAAAATGATTTTAAAATGTGTATCGACCTATTTTTAGTAATTCCACTCGCACGCGAACCTCGCCATATATCTTCTGCTGGGGCATCCAGACACGATATGTAGTTTTTTTTTTTTTGCCCCACTGTTTAGGTTGATTCAACACTGGAACATCGCACCGCCGTGGAGTTGCATCGTGTGCAGGTACGCTGAAAACTATTTTTTTCCATTAGTTTTCTGTTGCCTCTTATAATGAGAATACATTGATCGATACACCGATATCAGAATATCGAACATGCTGGCTGTAGGGAGCGAGAGCATGTAAATTTTTCATTTCAGTGGAGTTTGCTTTTTTTTTTTTGTTTTTTTAGAGCTGTTTTTGTTTCATTCTCTGGGAGCTTCCAACAAATTGTGCGAGTGTCCGCTGCAGGGGAGATGGATGTAAATGGGTATTTTTGGGGGAATGGGTAGACGGAGCGGGTGTCTGGCACATATTTGGTGTTTTGAAATTATATGTGGGGAATTCAGTTTGGGAGCTGTTTATTTGGAGTCCTTAATGAGTTTTGGGAGGGGTTGAAGCGGGTTTTTGCGTTTCGAGATTCGGTCAGGAGAGGGAGGTTTTTACAGAGAATTTACGCGGGTTGAGAATTTTTCGATGGCGAGAATATCTATTCGCCTGCTTGATGATGACTACGACTGGTTCAGGGATGCTCCTCGACATTAAAGGAATTCCTTCGCGAATAAATTGTTTGGAATTTAATTTATCCTTTACTAATCTATGTGCTCCTCTTAATTGGAGTGTTTCAAAGTCTTTTAAATGTCCGCGTGAAATGATCATCTAAGTAGGAAAACTGGAGAATTACAATTCCCTGGATTACGAATAATTCACTTTTTCATTCAGTGGATGAATTCAATAAACACTAGCATGATTCATTCTTTCTCATTTTCCCTTCCTTTCGGCATTCCATTATCTTCCCTGAAAATCGTTTGTCCCTCTTGTCTTCAATGCTTGAAACTCACTACCTTGAGATTCCTTGAATGTAGTCATATTACTTCGAAGTTGGATCGGTTAGATCTAGAGAATCTGCTCGGTTGAACTGACTCTAGGTTGCTGGAGGTAAGTGCTCTTTTTCAGCGAGGGCTGATGAGGGAATGTAAAAGTCAACATTGAGATTTGCCTGTGGTTGAAGTGCAAGGAACAGGAGAAAACTAGGAATATCTGTGAAACGTGCCAATATCAAAAGTTTGTTAATGAAGGTGGTGTTATAGAAACATTAATTTGGTAATTTGAGCCTGAATCAGCTCATGAATCATGTATCAGCAGGCATGATGCAATTGGTGTTGTAGAAGGCAGATAATTTTAGAATAGATTAGTCAATGGAAGCTCTGTTACGCGCGAAATTAGGATCATAATTAGGATGTGAAGTGGGTTTAACAGTGTGTAATTAGTAAAGTTATGCGGCAATTGCATCTCGGAGGTGTATCATCGATAGCACCTGATGGGAACTACTTTCATATTCGCAGAGGTGAGGCATCAAATCACAAATATGCAATCTGTCATTTCCATAACCTTGGCATCGTCAACAACCTCGTCAACTGTGTGCTTGTAGTCTGGGAACACACAAATTGCGTCGTGGAGTATTCCCCTGAAAGCGATTGATGCTGCTCCAGTAAATTTTGATTGAAGCTCAGATGTCAGCGGGGATGCGGTACATAAGATAGTTGATAGTCTTTGAGCAGACTGATCTACTTCCGGAGAATATTCAAAAAATTGAATAAATTATTTAATTAGAGAAAAATTATTGGTTTCGTTCTAAATAGAACACAATGATCATGTTACGAGTCCCTGAAGAAATGGTCCAATCTTAATTATTTTATGGTTTATTATATATTATGGATTTTGACAATTTTGGATGTGTGGGCTATTTAGTCCTGGTCTATTCCTTCGGCCTACCCATTATAACAGAAAATTAAAATATGATATGTACAGAATGGGGAAATCAATATCTCAGTAAATACGAT